ATTTGGGAAGGGAAATTGTCAAGAAAAAAGTACCTCAGGCGGTTACGTTCTTTGACGGATTGCTTGGCGAAAGTTGGTTGCAAAGTGTTACAGTAGCTCGAAATGCAGGGGTAAGGAAATATTTTTAGTACTGTTCATATTTGCGTTTCAGGTTTATAGTAATTTTACTTGTTAAAACAACCTTTTTTGTTTTCTTTTAATTACTGGGGTTCAATCGACTGACATATTAATGAGACAATCGAAGTTATTTAACCTACAAAACATATAATTAGGTAGTCTAAGGTCTTTTTGTCAGCCTCTCCAATATTGTCCAACCTTCCACGATTGTACGTGTCTTCCAGTCACAGATAACAGCCCTTATTATTTTCTTATTTCTTCTTCCTTTTAACGCAATTTGCAGTTCTTTAAACAGTTTACCGGGTGCGCCTCAAAAGTGGCTCACCCCTATAACTTTTTTATTTTTTCAGATAATAAAACGAGATTTGGTATGTTAGTATATGATATAAATTAGGATTGATTTACGTATTCAGTTGTTTTTGGCCACTTTCTGTTTCACCGGAAATTACTACAACTTTTGAATTTTAAATGACACTCTCGGTATTTATTAGAAATTGTAACATGGGGTTCATAACGATAATTTGAAAAAAATGCTTTTTCCAAATATGCTAATGAGCCACCCTTGTTCCATTTGAAAAAATTGAGATATGATTAAAAATACGATTTAGGCATCTTTTAACCGGTCAAGACAAGACACAAAAAGCATTAGACGATCAAATTTATTTTTCCAAAGCTAATACGATTCTTTTTAAGTAAAAATGTCAAAAGCTGGCATATGATATGTCATTCTATTCAGAGTGTCATTTTCTATCGAATACAGTAAAATATACTGAGGGTGCCATTTAATTTTCCAGACTTTTCCCAGTGAGCAAAGTTTTGTCACATTTAGGGAACATTAGGAAACAGTTACGTATCTGCGTTTTATTGCTTTTTATCAGGCACAACAAGGGCCTGGTAACGTATCAACGACATCACCATTCCACACATTTCCTTTGAAGGAATAAAATGCTCACTGGATTACCCGTCCATATATCCGGAATCTAGTATCGCTTAACTTTGGTGATCGATCGGGAACCGGTGTAGCCGTAGTTCCTCAACTTTCACATTCATTTAATACACTATGTGTTTTTTTGAATTGCTCGTTACAAAAAAAATGTTTGCTGTTATTGACAACTCAACAACTATGTTAACTTGAATATTGTATTATATAGTTATAGATACTTAAAAAATTTCAGGTACATCAACAAGCTTATACCTACGTACTTGATGCTGAAAAATACGCCCCTCCTAAGTTATTCATAGAAAAAGCGAAATTGCATTGGTTAAGAGAAGAGCATGAAGAAGCTTTGATAACATTAAAAAGAGGTTTAAATATGTATATCCCCGATAATACCAGTAGCCAAATCATAGCCAATCTCAGCTTAGATAACAAGTAATATTTTATATTTAACTTAAATTGCATTTCATTGAATTTTAATATTTTAGGAAATTATGCGCAGAAGCTCGCTTACTTATAGCAACATATAATGATGACATTTGTAGCGTTGATGTTGAAGTTAATCTTCAACAATACAAAGACTCCTGTGAGGTTTATAGAGAATGGGAAAAGAGTCTTGTATGTTTATCATCATGTATTTTAACAATTTATCTTATCCTGTATAATTTCAGGTTTGTTTAGCTCAGTATCAAGATCGTATTTTTCAAAACTATTCAGATGAGGACAAAGATAGCAAAAGTGACCTGCAATTGCACATTGTAAATAATTTTGGAAGATCACTATATTACGGGACAAATTATATTTACCAATCAATGCCCAGATTATTGTCTATATGGTTTGATTATGGTACGAAATTGTTTGGTTTAACGAATCGTGACGTCAAAGAAGAAAGACGGAATTACCTAGTAAAGCTGACCAAGCTTATTGATGGATTCCTAACAAGACTGCCATCGTTTGTATTTTTGACATCATTTTCACAAATTATTTCGAGAATATCTCATCCTCAAAAAGAGGTCTATTTGGAGCTAAAAAATATAATTATAAAACTTTTGGAACATTATCCTCAGCAATGTTTATGGATGATTAGCTCAGTAATAAAGGTAATAAATAATAAATTTTAAATATACCTACTCTCCAGCATACAAAATTCCGCCACCCTAAAAGTTTGACTAAGTTTGATGTTTCATGACTTTTTATTTTTTAATCCGATTTTCATGATTATGGTATCGATGTGAAGATGAATTTATTGGCATTATTTTTTATTATTTTAATGGCTTATATTCTTCAGTTAGATGGATTTATACCGAGGTAAATTAAAACGTTGTTTTTGCAATAAATTCAAAACACCCTGTGGAAAAAATGAGAGGGCATTTTGGATAAAAAAAAAAACACTTTCCTGTAATCTTAGATGTATTCCTAACATTTCATTTTTTGAGTTATCCCGTTATCTCTATTCTTTTATGAGCTAAATAAAACACTAAATCACCACAATACATTTGGTATATTGTGGTGATTTAGTGTTTTATTTTGCTGTGTAACACCAAATGTTCCAACCCCCAACTGTAATCTTTTATAAGCTAAACATTTTTAAGTAAAATATTAATTTTAGAGATTCTTTTATTGACAAAAGCAATAATTTTATAATAATTTTAATAGCGTGTATGTCCACCTCGATGCTCTCGTCGTATCGAATGAATAAGGGTAGTTATTCTTTCTGGGTCTATGGCTTGATGAATATCAAGCTATAGATCAAGAGAACCGTTTACAAGAGCTAAGGCTAGCCATAGCTATTGTAAAGCTTGTGGTAGAATAGGACAACGACGAACAGCTCTTTTAAGTTCATCGCACAAATGTTCGATTGGATTGAGGTCGGGACTACAAGGAGGCCATTTCAATCTTCGTAGTCCAACCTCATCCAAGTACTCATTAACTACTCTTATTCCTAACTCGTTACCCCGCCCAACGAGGGACCTGACATTATCATGCATCAGTCAGTGGCGGCTGTGACCCATGTGATTGGGTAGGCGACAAAATTTTAGTTGCGTCTATTTGCGCCCCCCCTAATTACATAATACCCTAACCCAGTTTGTAAATATATGTTATCTCTGGGTTAAAGACATAGCTCAAGAATATTTAGGATAAGAAATAAGCAAAAATAACAGCATTCAACGTAATGACATAACGATTGACATAATGTACAAGTATACCTATGTTTTTTATCTATTACTATGGAGTCACTATGGAGTACATCATAGAATTTTATTTTATTTTTATTTATTTACGCAAACCTTGAAAATTGGTAGTATTGAGAGAAAGAATAATTATATCAGTAAAATCATCAGATTGTTGAAGAGCTGTAAAAAGATCTTTTTAGATTGAAAGTAAGGCAAGTGACGATAAACGTTTATTTTTTATGGAATCTCTACTATATTATTTTTTATGGAATCTCTACTATAAATAAATGCATTTCAAACATGATGTCTCTCAACCCAAGTACTTACTTGTAAATGGTGTAGTAACAAACAAAAGAAACAATTTGAAAGCCTCTGGAAATATATTTCCAAGATTATTCTCCTTAAATTATTTTATATAATCGAAATTATCATATCTATTATTAATACCTGCAATTTATTCATTAATTTACGTTGGTCAATAACATTTTTTGTTTGTTAAATCACTATTAATGCGTTGGAAATGTATCAATATAACAACTTTGTTAAATCAGATGTTAAATGCGTTGGAAATTTTTTATAAGACTCTTTAAATTTCGGATCAGCAAAGAAAAAAAAATAATTGAGACATACGAGTACCTATCTGCAAACTTTATTTCTAGATGTATAACAATGTTATCTAATATTTCATAAAATAAAATTAGCAAAGATATTTGACTGAGTCGCTTTTATTAACATATCGAATTGAAATAGTACACTGAGACTTTTCTGTAATATCTGTTGTATCGTCTTCTTACACCGAATAAAATAACGCGCTTTTTTATTTCGGATTCTTTTATTTCTGTGGAGTGTTCTGAAATACAACCGGTTATATCATTTTGAATAATCTCGAACAAGCCCGAAAAATGTTTTCAATTTGCTATAAACGTTTTTTGAATTTTCATATAAAAGTTTTAAATGCTACGTATAATGAATCATATGAAATATCCCCTTAACGAAATGCGATATATCCCCTTATGAAATATATCGGGAATATCCCCTTCACTTCTAAGCCTATCGAGCCTCCACGACTTCATGCGAAGGCGACCGGAGATTTCGCCTAAGCCCCGCCTTAACACGATACAACTCCGACTTACGTCGCGTCGCTACCGCCCGAGGAGTTAGACAGAGACAGAAGACTGCCGTACGTCGTGCATCGACTCTGATAGTAGGCGATGCAGAAATCGCCGAACAAAGACACCCCAACGGTCAAAATTATTTTCGCAGCGGCACAGTTAGCTTACGCCAGCGATAGTGAATATTTTAATATACAAGACCACAAATATTAAAATAATATTGATTATTAAGACACACTTCCGTGTATTAACAGTATTTTTATGTATTGGCAACCTTAATAGTAAATAATGTATTATAATAAATCACTTAAAGTCTGCAACATCCGCAATATAACGGTGGGCGTTGAGAGCTCCATTTTCAACAAATTCTAGATTGTAAAAATATCAGTACTCTATTGCAAAATACAAAGTTTTTATATACCCCGGTATAAACCCACCTAATCGAAATATATAAGCCATTAAAATAATAAAAAATAATGCAAACAAATTTATCTACAAACTAATACCATAATCATAAAAATCGGATGACAAATTAAAAAGTTATTAAACATCAAACTTAGTCAAAATTTTAGGGTGGAGGAATTTTGTGCTGGGGAGTTTATTTATTATAATATTAAGTCCTCAAAAGTTTGTTGAAAATGTTGAATGCTGTGAGTATTTAGTTTTTTTTTTCTTTTCTATAGTCAAGTTATCCAATACGGGTTCAAAGATGCTCAGAAATTCTAAATGATCCTAAACTTAAGATTCACACAATGCCAAAACTAATTAAGGATTTTACCAGTTTGGCCGAAAAACTAATCGAATTATGCAATAAAGACATTCCTCAAGATGTTAAAAACATTAATGTCAGTATGTTAGTTAGATCGCTTCCACGGTAAAATTTTCTATCTCTATAAAAAATAGTCGATTCTAATTTTCTGAAAATTTTAGAATGCTAAATAAAGGAGATTTCAGCGAAATAATGATGCCTACTCATAAATTTAGAAAATTAATATTGCCCAACCCCGACTTTAAGAACTCACAACACAACCCCTTTCCAAATCGATACGTTTATATCGCCGGCATTGAGGAAGAAATGTCAATTTTAAACAGTTTGCAGAGACCGAGGAAGATTAACCTAAGAGGATCCCATGGAAAAGTTAAAATTAAATTTTTTTTTTTTTTTTTAAAGCAATTTTTGAAAATCTAAGTATGATCGAAGAAAAAACAGCGCCATAGTAGCCATTAAATGGCAGTCGCTGGTTTTCTGTTTCACCGTTGCCGTTTTTTTTGTCTGTCTCTAGTATACCGACCTGGTCATCGAAACTGCGTGATCTGAATTTTAACGTATACACGTTATATCGACATCACTGTCATAAATCTGTCATAATGACAAGGGATGTTGACAGCTTCTTTGATGGAAAATCAAATGTATTAAAAAAAGAGATAAAAGTTGGTTTAATACATTTCTTCTATGCGGTATTGCCGGATTTTGCATCAAAGTTTCAAACCGCACAAGTAGGCGTTTATGAAAAACGTTACATCTAGGGTTGGAACTTTATTTTTCACAATTAGTTACTCATTTTACTACAGCTGTAATAGATTCCTAAACAACTATCTAACAGACATGAGACATTTATTATTTTATTTCTCGCACGAATCGGCAACACTGTATGCCGCCATATTTATATCTGTCGTCTGCATTAAAGTACAGACCACGGAAATAAAGTGACCAGGGCTAGTATATTTAATTCTGCTATTTGAGTCTTAATATAAATGTCTTTTGAACTATTTTAGATACACCTTTATGTTGAAGCCTAAAGATGATTTAAGAAAAGATTTTCGTTTAATGGAATTTAACGATATAGTAAACCATTTGCTACTCTGCGATCCTGAAGCCAGACAACGCAGACTGAATATAAGACTGTATTCTGTTGCGCCGCTAAACGAGGAATGTGGTCTAATTGAATGGGTGCCCAATTTACTCGGCTTAAGACCAGTTCTGTTGAATTTGTATCAACAAAGAGGTGAAAATATTTCTTATATTTTATTGGTACTTTTTGAACGTTGAGTTACTTTTAGTTCATTTATAGGTTTGGGAATGAAAGCAAGAGAAATTAAAGAAGCGTGCTGTAGTGTTAAAGATCCTTTATCAAAAAAGAGGGATGTCTTTGTCAATACCTTGCTTAAAAAACATCCGCCAGTTTTGGGTGATTGGTTTAGGAAACATTTTCCAGATGCGCAGGTAACATTACCTATACATTGCTGGCAAGTTTTGCAATTGGGTCGGTATTCACATGTGTGGAAGTGAATCTCGTAGAGATTTTATTAAGTTGGAGTGAGAAAAATGCGACGGTGTGCTGTTGCCACATTTATCGGTGCGCTTTTCCCTGGTCGAGAGGTGTCCATTAAATTAATATTCCATTAATTAAAAAATATCGTTATGGTGTCCATTTTTTTAGGGTTCCGTACCCAAAGGGTAAAAACGGGTACCCTATTACTAAGACTTCGCTGTCCGTCCGTCCGTCTGTCACAAAGGTCTATCTTATGAACCGTTATAGCTAGACAGTTGAAATTTTACAGATAATGTATCTATGTTGCCATATAATGAACAAATCCTAAAAACAGAATTAAATCAATGTTTATAAGCAGAAAAAGTACTTTTATAAACATTATCTTTTAAGTAGAATTTTACATAGAATATTTCAAGTCCTCGGTGGCCGCGTGGTTTAAAGCGTTAGTACTTTACGCTGCTATGACGTTGGAGCCGTAGTAAGGCAGGTTCGAATCCTAGTCAAGGCGACTTTTTTTAATCGTTTTTTTAATTTTTATATTTGGCACAATTTTACGTATTTATTATTGATTAATGAAATTTTTAGTAATGTGTTTCTTCATTTTTTTTAATAACGTCATTTTTCAATCATGTTTTTAAACTGTAACACAAATAAATAGCAAAAATATCAGAAAATCATAAAAAATTAGGATTAATTAATTATATTTTTATTTAAAAATATATAATACATAAAAAAAAAAAAAATGGTTATATTTTATTTATAGAGTTGGTTAACAGCAAGAACTGCGTATATAAGAACAACAGCTGTTATTTCTATAACAGGTTATATATTAGGATTGGGTGACAGACATGGCGAGAATATACTGCTGGATTCCACATGTGGTGATGTAGTTCATGATTTTAACTATATCTTTAATAAAATTATACTATTATATTTAAATTTGATTTTATTGTAATACTGGCGAGCATATAATATTATATTCGCCTGGCAAAATATTATATTCGACAGACAACTTGTAAAGAATGACAAAAACAGTCTGTTTTAGTATTAGAACGGCAGACAATTCATTTGTCAGGAGTGTCACATTTTCTCGTTTGCTGGACACCCTGTATATACATACATACTGTCATTACTCGCTGACGAGTATTTGACACGCATCAGAAGATGGTCACATGAGCTTTTCTGTGACTGAAAAGCCCGATACGTGATGTTATCTGTCTACCGCACTCCGGACATTCAAAAATCTCATTGCTTTGTTGCCTCTACTTTTTGGTTGTCAATTTATATATTTTTGGTTGCCTCTTTACTTTTTGTTGTTTACTTTTTGACCGATACGTTTGACACATGATGAAATCATTTGATTCTTAAGAGTTGTCTAAGATGTCTCTGTTGCAACTTGTTTAATGCGTTCATGCGTCGGCGGTATGGCACCCACGTTTCGTTTCCATATAACATGGTGGGAATTATTATAGCTCGGTAAACTGCAAGAGTTTCGTTTTGTGCTCAAGTCATGATTGAAAACCCTCTCTTTAATTTCCAGAGTGCTTTTGAGGCGCTGCTAATCCTGTGCTGAATTGCAGAGTCGATATTGGCCTTTCCCGAAATCAAATTGGCGAGGTAATTGAATTCCGCTACATATTCCAATAGTTCTCGATTTTATGGCATTGTTGTGATCTTCCGAGTGCACATGATTTTAGTTTATCGATGTTCAGCCTAAGTCCCAAAAACTTTGTATACCCAATATGTGTTCAACAGCCTGTATATGCATGTACAGAGTGTAGTTGCTTAATGTTATCTTTTATATTGCCTATTATTCAACTTATCCTATTTATCCTTAAATTTTACAACATGTGGCAACCGCGCTAACTGAATCTTTCAAACTCACTGCTATCGTCCAGGGAATGCTAGCATTCACTAGTAAAAGTTGGTTTCAAAAATAGCTGTTGAACTTTTACTGCCATAGTCTTAGCAAATCAGTGAATGTTACCTTTACTAGTAATTGTTAACAATCACTGATTTTCAACTTTGACTATAACATATACATAATCTTTTTTTGTAAATCAAAATTCATATCGAAATAATTGAAAACATAAATTAGGAATATAGATGGTTAATATTTCTTTTTTATATATCTTATAATCATAGTGATAATTTTATTTAAAATTGCTTTTTTTATGTGTTTATTGAACTGTACAAGCGAGTTTAATTGTCAAATATATGTGCCTTGGAAGTCAAAAAATTTCAGACACTTCAAAGAGGCGTACGCTAACTGTCGCTTCCGTATGGCAAATTATTCTGCGCAATCATTGTAACAATTTTTTAGGTGAATCATTTGAATGGCCAGAAAGAGTTCCATTTAGGTTGACTCAAAACATGGTCTCAGCAATGGGACCTCTGGGAGTTGAAGGTGTGTTCAGAAAATCGTGCGAATTCACGTTAAGGGTTCTAAGGTCAAATGCGCCAACATTGATGTCTATCGTAACACCTTTCGTCTACGATCCTTTAGTTTCTTGGCCCAGGCATGTCGCAGCCGCAGCACAAAGCTCTGAGAGAGTCAATGAACAAGTAAAATTCTTTGTATTGATGAATAATAAATATTAATTTGTAGGCATTAGAACATATAAAAATATCGACTTCGACTACAAGGTAAAGTTAAAACGAGAAGCCGTTTTATGTCTCAATGTTTATCAGTGGAAGGACAAACTGATTACCTAATCAAAGAAGCTATGAGTATAGATAATTTATGCCAAATGTATTTAGGTTGGATGCCATATCTTTAGGCTTTAAATATGTTCGTAATTTTGTATTTGATGTTTTTTTTACATATATTTTAGTATTGTTTTTAATAAATTTTTCATATTAAACAAAGTTCTTTCTATCAATTTTCCTCTATCAGATAATAGTAAGTTTAAATTTAGAAAACTGAAAAAGAGCCAGTTATTTTATGCAGCCATGCAAAAAGTTCTACATAAATTTTTGTTATTAAAAAAGTTTAGGGAATCATCTCTTAGGCGACTTTGTTTAAAAAAGTGGTCACCTAAAGGGGTTCAGTAGTGGGGTTCGCTAAATGACGACAATTGGCGCTAATAAACAATAAGGGATCAGGTATTCAATAAAATGCAACAATATACCGCTTTGTGCAACTATTTTGTTTTGGTATACATGAATAATGAAATCAATATTTTAAATAGTGTTCTTTTATTTTAACATCTCTATACACTTATAGTAAAAATACAGTTTGGAAAATTTAGACCTTACCTAACTTAAATATTTAAAAGTAGTTAACATTTATTACACAGTATATACAGTTTTACACCACAAAACAATAGCTGTAAATTACCTATAAATTTGAGGTCTATTCTTTATACAAAAATAAAGCTGTGCTAATCACAAGAGGTCAAAATTTAAATAAATGTAAAGTTTTGATTATTTCAGGCTTTCACGAAATGAGAAGCGAATAAATGGATTCTCAGATACTTATAATGTTGACTGGTTAATTTAAGGCAATAGCCTCATTAATAGCAATTGTATATAAAGTATTATGTATATAATATTGTATAAGGTAGTGTTACCACACAATAAATAAAAAAAATCTAAGGTGGAAGGTTACGTGATAAGACACTAAAGATTGAAGCTACATCATACAAACATCTTGACAGTTTTATTGGCTTTCCTTGACAAATTTGAATTTGTGTTTGATGCGCTTTTCTACGTTTATTTTATATTATGGGAGGCGCATTTTATAATTGATTTAAGGCAAAGTATATAAATCTGGAAATAACATTACGGTGAGGCTTGTGTTCCAGTGAAATTCTTGCAGTCTTATAAAAAAGTTTCAAAATAGTTACTTAGCCAATGGTTGCAAGACTAAAAACATGAAAAATAACAACTTTCATTGGTGGTATACCAGGTGCGTCTGAAAAGTGGCTCATCCTATAACTTTTTATTTTCAGATAAAAAACGCGATTTGTTATGCTAGTATATGACATAAATTAGGATTGATGTATTCAATCGTTTCGGTCACTTCCTGTTTCACGGAAATTACAACACATTTTAAATGGCACCCTCGGTATTTTTTTAGTTTATTCGATAAATGACGCTCTGAATAGAATCAGTCAATTTTTGACATTTTTGTACAAATGCAGGATAATAAACGTTATGTCTTTATTTATATTGAGAAAAATTAAACATAACATTAAACGATAATGTCTGTCATTTTATTTATAGAAGAAATTTTTTATAAAGATTATAAACATTATATTTATTTTAGTAAATTATATACCAAATAATAGTAAAAATGTGTAAAAACATTTTTAAGTCTGTTATTTACTTCTCAATTCTTTGTATTCAACTTCAGAAGAAGAATTGTAAAAAAAACTAACAAGTATTCCGGATTTTCTAACTCGGCTTTTCAATTTAAATTTATTCTGTGTGTATACTTAAATCTTTTGAGCTCTTGCCTAAAATATTCGACAGTCTTATGCAACCCGGTATTTAAATCTACTTTTGGTTCCCAGTTCAAATAAGTCTTTGCTCGCGTTATATTCGGTCTTCTTCTTTGAGGATCGTCTTCCACTTCGCTTACGTGAATAATTTTGCTATGGCCTCCCACAAGATTTTTAATAATGGACGCAAATTCTACAGCAAAATATTAAATTCTAAACCTATATAATTACAAAAAATAAACAAAAACATAATCGAATTGAACGACCCTCTATACCTATTATATTTTCAGTGCATTGTATTTTCAGTACATTATATTTTTTCAAATTATAATATACAGGGTGGTCCGAATTGTATTCGAGAAACTTCGGCAGCATATTCTGCAGATAAAATAAATAGAAAAGTTTGTAATAATGTATGTCCTAAAATGCTTTGTTTTATAGATACAGGATGTAGAGTTTTCATTTTATTTCGATTTTTTCAAATATTTTTTTTTAAAGCTATTTAAATGAACTAAATACAAAATATTTTTCTTTTTTTTTTTTAACATAAAATATTTTCAACACGATAACTCAAAAACCATGATTTTAACCAAATTTGGCACAAAGAGAATCTGGCCATTAGTTTTGGGCGAGGGTGGGGGGTTGGTAAGGGGGTATGGGAGGGGATTAAAAATTTCAAAAAAATCGTAACTCCAAAATTACAGTACCTAGCGAAACGCGGTTTTCAATTTAAGATTAGGAATAATATTTAATATTTGTAATACAACAAAATTTGTAATAACATCAAAAATCAGTCAAAAGTCGCAGTTTTTAAGATAAAAAAAAAAAAAAAAATTCTTTAGTTTGAAACTAAAAGAACTGCCTTCACAACTTTTTATTAACATATTTAGTATGGGCGGCGATACGTGCCTCAGCATTTTTATTTAATAGTTTATTTCAAAATTGAAAGCTAACATAAGTAAATTCTTCTTCATCTGCATGGTTTGTGTTTACAAATTTGGGTTAATGAATTGGCATGGACACAGAGATAACGGCAGGGATGGGAGGTTATAGGTACAGTAACCAGAAATACAATATAGGCGAAAACAGCGACACTTTGGAAGCCGGAACCTCGGTTACAAAATTGCAGTATTTCTCTGGAACGGTTGCTATTGTGACTCATGTGGAATCGTTATTCCCATCACTATTCTACACCCTGTATCTCCGAATGTTCTGTCTCTATCTGCCGAATTTTCCCGAATACAATTCGGACCACCCTGTATAGCTTTAAGCTCCGTCTCCACAACGTTTTACTTGAACTGAATTAAGACGGAAGATTGTCTAGAAAACTAAGGGATCGTTCAGTTTTACAGCAAAACTAGTTTTGTCTACACTGAAAAAAATGTAGGTAAATTTACAAAAAAATATATGGATATTATTGCATTGATCTTTAATAAGCAACTTTTAAAAATATAATATTTTTTCATAGTTTCAGGAAAGAATGTAATTTTATAAAAAAATTTAGAGATTTTTATTGTTTAGTAAACAATACACAGTTCACTAAACACAGTGTTATATCTGATAAAAGCAGTACTTCCAACATGGTCTTTACCAAAAACTGATCTAAAACCGCACGTCAAATTTCCAGTGTTATACTTTAATCCATCTTACCTGACCCTTTTAACTGACAGATAAAATGTAATGTGTACACGGGGCGAATATTGAAATTTCAATGAATATCATATATTCTTTGATGAATATCACTTACCATTTATAGTATGTTCTACAGGATTTCCTAAATTAACAGGCTGCGAATAATTCGAATTCATAAGTGATATCATCCCTTCAACTAAGTCCGATACATATTGAAAGGAGCGCGTTTGTTCACCAGAGCCATACACCTACGTTAAAAATAATTACTTTTACTGAATGTTATCACATCTCTAACACCTACAGTAATGACATCATTTTGTAATGCTTGCAAAATAAAGTTTGAAACCACTCTGCCATCGTTCATATGCATTCTAGGGCCGTAGGTATTAAAAATTCTGGCTACACGAACCTGCATATTTTCTTGCTTTGCATAAGCATACGTCAATGTTTCTGAAACCCTTTTACCTTCATCATAACATGCTCTCGGTCCTAATAAAAATACAGAAATATGAAATTAAAATTATAAATATTTCTTTAAATAAAAATGTGTTAACCTCAGATTTTTATAATTTACATATTTGATAAATTAAAATTATGAATATTTTTCTAAATATAAATGTGACATAAAAATGAAATAAAATTAAAAGTATTTCTCTAAATAAAAATAAAACCCAAAGACTACATATCACCTGAAATTTTCCTGATATACAATGAACATTTATTTAAGTTTAAGAATATTAACCTGATCATTGTAATTATATGTATAGATTATTTTATTTACTATTTCTTACCAATTGGATTTACATGTCCCCAATATGTTTCGGGTTGTGGGTGAATGTCTGGATCACCATACACTTCTGATGTGCTGGCTATTAAAATTTTTGCATTAAGCCTTCTTGCTAATCCTGAAAGATGCATTTTAACTTTAAGATATTCAAACCTTATAAAATGTAATAAAAATTCTTGCCTAAAATATTTATTGTTCCTAGTGTGTTGGTTTTAATAGTTTTAACTGGATTATGCATATAGTGAGGTGGACTAGCGGGACTAGCTAAATGATATATTTCATCAACTTCAATAAACAAAGGATTAACTATATCGTGATGTATTAATTCAAAATTCTCATGTCCTATCCAGTGCTCTACATTTCTCTTTCTTCCTGTGAAAAAATTGTCCACTACTAATATTTCGTGACCATCCAACATTAAACGGTCCACAAGATGAGATCCTACAAATCCAGCCCCACCTGTGATCTAAAATAAGCACCAATTAATAATAGCATTAAAAAATATAAAAAAATACTTAGAAAATAATAAATATATGTTTATTAAACATGTAAAGATTCTAAAAATTTAATAAATATCAATGCAATGGGCAGCACAATATTTGTTATCATAAAACTTTGCTATCCAAAACTTTTGTATGTCTGAGAACATTTATTTTACAAATAGGTATACAAAAGCAAACATATAAAGATACAACTATTAGATTGTTGACTACTCATTGAAACTCACTAATATCCTTTTCCTTTTCAAGTAATTTAAAAAATTGACATCTGGATAAGTCTTAGGTACTCGGCCTTCCAGCGAGATAATTTTTTCTTCAAGAGCTTCTATCTTTCGATAAGCCTCATTTAGTAGATAATTTGCATGATTCACGTCCTCTGGAAACTTCCATAAATTTTTTTCAGTGTCATTTTCGTATTTCCCATCGTTTAAATTCCTGGCGAGGATTACAAACAAAACTACAATAATTGTGTAAAACAAAACCTTATGAAAAAATATATAACAAATTACCTAGAATTAATACACAAGTCAAAATTATGTATTTATATTTGAGAGTTACTTGATTCATTGTACATCTTAAAAATATGTGAGAAAATTTACATCTTATCTAAAATGGATTAATAAAACAAATAATTAGCCATAACCTCTATTTACCTATTTTTATTTTGTTTTTATGTTTTGTTTGTCACAGAAAAAGAAAAATAAATAATTAAGAATCATATATAATATATAATCATATATAATTCTCTTAGGGCATAGCTAGACTGATATAAGGAAGGAAGATGCAAAAAAAGGTTGGCCAGTTGGGCCAGGTGCTTAGGCCAGGTGAGGAAGAGCCAGAAGCCAGGCAAAGCATCATTGGATTGGCGTAGATAACTGGTAGATAATCGCCACAGAGTTTAAAATTACCACTTGCTATCCTTATCTATACCCAAAGTCATTTGGGGTTGTCAATATGATGTCAATATGTCAAAATACATTGTTTTGACAAAAAGGAAGTTAAAATAATTGTTTTTCTGTAAAAAAGGCAGTTAATTATAATATCAAAATTTAAAATATTGTAATACTCCAATTAATATTCCATAGTGCTGCAAAAATTGCTTATGGCTTGAGTTATAGGATAAAGCATTTCCAGGTTTAAGTAAGACGCAATTCAGACAATAAAACTAATCAGATCTTGACAACTTTTCTTAAAAAAATACACCAATTTGTATGATTAATCACTGTTCATTTTTCTTACATCTTGTTTCAATCTTTTGATTTTTAGATCGGATGGACATTAGATTACATAGCAGTCATAGCAATCTTCTGTAAACTATAATCTTGTACAAAGATTATGATGTAATTTAAACTTTAATAAGAAACATCATGCATCTTCAAATCATATTTTTAGTTTGTATTAGTATTTTACAATTAAGCGATGCTGAGATATATGCTATAAAATTTGTGAGTATGAATTAATACATATTATTATAAGGCATGTGATAATAAATGTTTCCTTGAACCATTTTATTGATAATTTACCACATTTAATTACTTCCTTATTTTAGAACTCTGATTTCTATTTTGAAGAATTTGCTGATGAACCAGCAAAATTTGGTCCTTCCTTAGATGGAGGTGAGTGATAAAATTTTGTTTACTCTTTAAAGTTGTTTACAAATTAATATTGGCCAACTATATTGTAGACAGTAATAAATCATTAAATTCATATTTGAGATAGGTACTCCAAAATATATTAGGGATAATAATACCACCCTGATAATCTTTTTGAGGGATAAATTAATATTTTTCTCATTATACTTTATCTGGAATTTCCAGTAAATATTGATAAAAGCTAGTAATTTTCTTTAGTATTATTAGGATACCTATAAAATATTTTTAGCTGTGAGGGGACTTTTAACAAATGCTGATCCTCCCAGTGCTTGTAATAGCTCCTTACAACCACCTAAACCATATAATTCTACAGTAAATGAGTTGAAAAATTGGATTTTATTAGTGCCCAGATATACTGATGATGAAAACTGTACTTTTGAAGTTAAAGTGCGTATGGCACAATTGAGAGGGTATACAGCTATATTATGGACAAGCTTATCTGTGATTTTTAACAATATTTTTAGGTATAATGCTGTGATTGTTTATAATGTTGGTTCGGATGATCTGGTGCCAATGTCATCAACAAATTCAACTGGTATTAATATACCATCAGTGTTTGTTGGTCAGACTTCTGGGATAATGTTAAAGGAGATGTACACAAATAAAGATTACTTTGTAGTAATTACAGCACAAAGCCCATTCGATATTAAAACTCATTTATTGATACCGTTTGCCATTGTTGTAGGAATTTGTTTTATTGTAATGATTATTTTTATGGTAAGACTCAGTAATGTCCTTTGTATTTCTTTTGGAGTTAAACCATACTCAAATTTAGGTGGTAAAATACATCAAAGACCGAAGACGTCAGAGAAGACATAGATTACCTACATCACAACTAAATAAATTGCCAACATGTAAATACCAAAAAGGAGATAGGTATGAAACTTGTGCTATATGTTTAGAAGATTACATTGAAGGTGAAAAACTTAGAGTATTGCCATGTAACCATGGTGAGTTGTTTTCTATATTAGATAATTAAGTATTTTATTAGTTATAGGGTTATATCACTCTTAATTGAGTTTACTGAACAATTGAACATCCTGTATTAATGACATAAAATACAGGGTGTTCAATTTGTAATGGTAATTCTGGATCACCCTGTATCCTGTATTATTATATAATAAATAGTATTAATAATTTTAGTTTATCACATCAAGTGTATAGATCCTTGGTTAACTAAAAATAAAAGGGTTTGTCCGATTTGCAAAAGGAAAGTCTTTGCCCAAAATGAGCCACAGGTAGATTCTGACAGTGACAGCGACACTGACGATACCACCCCTTTGATTAGAGCAGGAAATAGAGGAACGCAGGGTGGCACTTTTGAGGTACGATCTAATCTTTTGTTAAAGATTTTGGTAAATATTTAACTCTTTTGGTTTAATTAGGTACAGAATGAGAATCCAATCCAGAGAGCTGCAAGGTCTGTTTCACAACAATCTGGTGCTGGAAATTTTGTCACAGCTTCTGACCATCACAGTATCAATGGTGATAGAGTTAGTACTTTAAGTAGGGATACCTCAGGTAACACACAAGATTGATTGTTTTCTATATATATTCAGCAGGGTTGAAATAATCACAATTTAAAAAAAAAAACATCACAAATTACAGTTTTTTGAAATTTTATTGAAATATTAATTTTGAATTTTTTTTCTATTTTATTGACATACTTACAATAATTGTATTCTTTGTCAGTGTGCCAAAACTTCCCTTTTCACAAAATCTGCTTTCAACTTCGGTTAACTTTACTTGCATACTGATTATTCTTGAACAACTTGGGCAAGTACTTAAAACACTGTTTACACACTGGCGGCTCGTGGGTATAAAAATAGGCGAAGAGATTTTTTTTAATTGCGAAATTTTTTTGGCGCATTCACCATTTACTAATTTTATAAATCAGCTCAATTCTTCTGTTCTTTATTGATGCAAACTTATCAGTAATATCGTGATAAAACGGATTTTCACTCATAAGTTCATTTAAAGTTAACTTTGTGAAAGAAAATTAACAAGTTTAAAATCAACAAAACCATTAACAAACAACAATAAATATTCAACAACAACTTTACAGTCTTTACACGGTTAATTACTCGCCGAAGTAGCCGAATATTAGCATAAAGGAAGACGAAGCGAACTGCCCAAAAATTTATTCACATCGGTCGCCGATAAAAATTTCGGGGCGGGGAATTTACATGCTGGCGCTAGGCTGACGTCACGTTACCATAGAAACCGTGCAGCCGCTCGGCTCACTAATATTTTCACTTCACTTGTGGCTTCGTCGAAACATAGGCGCGTGCGGGCCAATAATGCTACTTTTTCGGCCGGAATCTGTGGCCGGAATTAACGATGGGGTGGACCTATTATTATGTAGAGGTCCGCCCGGAAAAAAATAATTTATAAAAATTATCATTTTTATTATTTAGATACATATAAATATATTAAACTAAATTAATATTTTAAGCAGTAAAGTTTTTCTTTAATTTGAGTATTTTTTTCGTTGAAGTGCCCCGTCACCTACTGCACCTGACAAGCCGCCACTGCTGTATACGTGATACTTAAAATAGGTATTCAGAGTAGAAATCAAGTATTTAGGCAAGCAAAATTTGCATCGTCTAAACGCCGCTTTAGCGCAAACTAAACTGAAAAAAATTGAAACTGTTGAGAGTTGCACAACTCCAGACACTTGCGCAAAAATTTTCCCACGCACGTTCAATATATTTGCGCAAGTTTAGTTGCAAAATATGACAAACTGAAGTAAAATTTGGTTCACGCAAAAACACAAGCTACAATTAACTAAAATAAACACAATTTACTTACAGTGCTTTTATTTTTAATGACATAAAACATTCATTAACAGTTTTTATTTTATCTTAATTTTAACTTAAAGTTTAATTTTAACCTAAACCAACCCTGGTTTGAGGTAGTACGTTTTAAATACACGCGATTATTTTTAGATACCGTTGATACCGAATCATCTTCAAATACGAATCAATTTGCCGAAAATCAAATCTTTAAAGATTTGGAGGTCCACGTTCACCAGGCCGATGCCCAGAGTCAGACGAGTAACAGCGACATTAACGTTTAGATTATAGTTTAGTCTCTATTTATGTTATGTTCTAGTCGATGTAAGAGAAACATCAAACACCCTGTGTATGGTTACAGACTACGATCGAATTTTGACTAATAAGTGTCTTATAAGTAAGGTGCTATTAATGGCGATTTGGTTTGTTTTAAATCTCTCATATTTTTAAATCAATTAACTAAAAGAAACATATACAGGGTGTTTTACTCTAAAATTATACATTTCAATAATATTAGTTAAAAAAGAACTTTTTGTTTATATTGTTATAAAACATTTATTTGAACTAAATAATAGAGTAGTTATATTTGATTTTATTTTGTTACATATATTACCATTCTTAGATAATTAAGCTGTAGATATCAACGTTTATATTTTGAAGATGCATTTTCTGCTTGTTGGATGTATTCTTATTAATTTATGAAACAAGGTAAAATATCCTGTAGATGCTGGTAATCTGACAAACAGTGCCAAATATTTTAATAAAAAAAAACTTAAAAAATAAGTCAGTGATATATTTTTGTAATATGGAAGTATCAAATATAACCATTATTTATTACTATGCCTATAATACAATATATGGTCGAAGAGAAAAAAACGGCGTCAGAGGCGTTGAAGAAATGACGATCGCTATCAGCAAATATAAGAAAAATCGAAATGTCATTGATTGTTTATTTCCAAGCCATTTTGACTCACTTTTTTTCGAACATATGGTACCAATATGGTCGAAAAAAAAAACAGCGTCAGCGATGGCTATGAAATGAAGATCGCTGTCATTTTATATAAGGGAATGTCATTGATGTTCATTTCCACGCCAACTGCCGTTCTTTTTCGATCATACGGTATTGCTAATACATGTATAAATCTAAGTACTTGACAATTAACTGACCTATATTTTTTTAATTTGTGACTGATTTTCAATGAATATGCACTTTTGTGGCCAATCAGTTTTTTTCAGAAATTATTAACCTATTAAAGTCTGGTATTTTTTAAGTGTATCTCATGCAGAACTAAAATACAATACGATCGAGAAAAAAAAAACGGCGTCAGGGATGGCTTGGAAATGAAATTTTATTTGGGAAGTTTATATGGGAAATGCCAACGATCGCTATTTAAAATTTTTTTTAGGGCGCCTTTTTTATGCTTAGTGGTATTCTATAATAAGATATGGCAATATTAAGAGGTTAAAACAATGTATAATCACTGACAGAAAGACAAAATAAAATTATAACAATATGGAAATGTTTATATTGAAAACTTTTTGACCGCAATTGTACATATTGCTTGTTGATATTTATGGTCTATTCATCGAGGGAATGAGACGACATCCAAAAATTGTCAGAAAAAATAACTTACTTTTTAATAAAATTGACAGCAATTGTCCCTGATGTTATATATTTTCTCGTTGAACGGACTATATCTTTTTTTCAGCTCAACAACTGCCATTTATTTTGATTATCAGAATCTCTTGAAATAAATATATTTTTGTTACATTCCGCAATTAATATCGTTAAGACGTTATTCTTTTTTTTGTTGTTTATTAAGTCATTGTATTCACTTTCTAATAATAACATTCTAAAAATAAATATATACATATTGGACGTTTAAATGTTGTACTCATGTTGTACCATACAATTGAAGAAAAAGCGGTGTTGGAGATGGCCAGGAAATGAAGATTGCTGTATTTTATATGCAAAATTATGCTGGGGAATGTCATCGTCATTTCTAAGTCAACTGGGTGCCGCCTTTTTTTCAATTATAAGGTACTATACACAACTTTTATCATTCCCGTAAAATGCTGAAAGCTGCAACTTCTTAAATGTTTAAATATTTCTTAAAATTAATATTTTTTTTTTTTTTTTTATATATAATATAAAATACTGGCTATCTTGTTTAATTAAAAAAGAAATGTTTTATTCTACTGGTCTTTCATTGTTGGCTCATGGCTGGCTCCTTTTTCCAAATAACGTTTTTAATTGTGGTAAGAAGATATGCAACCAAAAATACTTCGAAAATGAAAATATCAGAATATCACTGAATTTAATATCTGTCTTTTTCTTCCTGCCTCTCGAAATATATCTATTTCATTTTCTACATTAGTGAACTACTTCCATCTCTCTTAATCGTTTGAAGTGAATATTGAATAATCTGTCAAAATTAATCCCCCTAAAATGTTCAGGTAGAAAATCCCTAGGTGTTATCCAGCAAAATTCTTGTAGGAAGGCAAAATTTCATAATGGCTTCTTGTTGAAAAAAAGGCGGTGGGTGGCTAAGAATTAACAATTTCGTTACAAAAGTGGTGCCTGCTAGTTAACGCGAGTTCCAGGAGTAATTCTAGATCAATTTTTTATAGTGTGTAGTGATACATATGCCTTTTCGAGCGGTGTCTCGTGTGAAAAGATGCTGCTAGCTTTCAAAACAAGGGCTCTGTTTTTAGTATGAAGATTTGCATACAGAAAATTTATAAAACTTGTACTAATTATATCGTAATTACCTCCACTTATTCAATGGTAAGTATTTCTATAAATGTAATACATTATTGATAATTTGAGAACAATTCTATTCTAACAAATTAATAGGTAATAATGTGATGTTTGTAGTATCAAAAATCCTGTCTGTGCTTCATAAATAACACATGTGCAGCTAATATGCCTATTATTCTTTAATTTAGCTACTTTGAAAATTATCAGTAACTTCCTTTCTTTGTAGGAGGCAGTAAACTATTTCTCTCAAAATGTTGTTTATTTTGAGATAATATGCTTATAATTTTTTCAAATCATATTACTTTAAAGTAAAAACAATTTCATTCATTAGTAGTTAAGGTATACAGTAGTTAAGTTTAATTTGAATATGAAAATTATGGTATAATTTTGGTTATATGAAATTTTACTCTTTTTTTACTCTTTTTTTTTTACTCAATATAATAATTATTGTGAAAGCAGAAATTAGTTTGTTTAAAATTACATTACTTATAACTTTACAGGTTACACTTTTATGCATGTATAATTTGTTATATTTTAATTTGTTAAACATCATGATACATCTTGAATATATAGCATTTTTACCTACCACAGTATAGAGTTACTTTACCTACTATTTCAGCAGTGGCATTATTTCTAATTTTACTTGTGATGTCTATAAAAGTAATTAATGCACCACAGTTGATGATTCACAAAATAATTCAATTGTTTTGGCACTTTTTTATAATTTAACTAATTTATTACCATAATGGGCATTGTAGTATCAAAAATAATGCCTCAGTTTGTTTGGAAATGATTCCAAGTCCATTCTAAAGCCATTTTTTTCTCATTTAATATAAAGTAACTTTTTAATAAGGGTTAATTTAAGTAAAGATATTCCTTGTTTATTATTAGTGTTAAAGTATATTTTTTCTTACTTTAGGTAATCACTGGAGATAACTGAACAAACAACATGGCTCGTAAAGGAGAATCTATCCGGACCATCAACGTAGCAGTAGTAGGACTATCCGGAGTGGAGAAAGACAAAGGTCATGCAGGAATCGGTAAATCGTGTCTATGTAATCGTTTTATTAGACCTCACGCGGAGGATTACAACATCGATCATATCTCAGTATTAAGTCAAACTGACTTTAGCGGTAGGGTGGTCAACAATGATCATTTTTTATATTGGGGTGAAGTTTTGAAGTCTTTAGACGACGGAACAGACTACCAATTTAGTATAATAGAACAAACAGAATTTATAGATGATGCATCTTTTCAACCATTCAAAGGTGGAAAGATGGAACCTTATGTTAAACGGTGTACTGCTACTAAAATTTCGTCCGCGGAAAAACTTATGTATATTTGTAAGAACCAATTAGGAATAGAAAAAGAGTATGAACAGAAAGTTTTGCCAGACGGCAGATTAAGCATAGATGGATTTATATGTTTATTTGATGTGAGTGTTGTTCCGAGTCGTAGCATTGACAAGCAAGTTGATTTTTGCGCCGCTATCTTTAACAATATTCTCAAAACAAAAAAGCCAGTTGTAATGGTTACAACAAAAAATGATGAAGCTAATGACAGTTTTATCAGGGAGGCCCACAAATTAGTTCAAAGAAGTGAATATAAGGGAAACATTCCAATGGTAGAGAGTTCAGCTCATGAAAACGTCAACATTGATTTAGGATTTTTGCTTCTTGCACAGATCATTGATAAAACCAAAGTTCGATTGAAAATTCCTCCCTACACTGAGGCTGCTCTTGCTAGGAAGGAAATTATGGATTCAGCTAGTGATGCTTTCATGAGATTGATTCGCGTTCATGTAACTGACTGCCACGCTCTGTGGTCACAAACTCAAAAGAAACTTAATAATCACAAAGAATGGATTCACTTTGTTCAGTTGTTTGGATTAGATGGGACTCAAAGACTGTTTAAGCGGCATATCAAGAAACTGAAAGATGAACAAATGGCTAAACAAGTGGCAAGATACATGGAAATGCTTCCAGATGTTTTACATGATCTGATTCCTGGATTTAATACACTACAAGACACTGATTGGACTTCTATTCAACAGTACATAAAAAATCATCCTAATTTTTCACAGTATTTCTTTGAACGTCCTGAGGATATGCCTTGGTCAGAGTGTGTAGGCTCAGATAGCGATGAGACCAGAATACCATTTGATGTATTAGACACCAGTGAAGCGGAAACGGTATTTAAAAATCATATCAATGTCTTACAGCAAGAACAAAAAGCCAAATTATAAAAACAGTTTAAACAATTGCTTGAAGACACGGGTTATGTTACACCTGGCAAACACTTGAGTGAAGTTAGAGTCTTATTTATGGGGAGAGAATGTTTTGAAGCACTTTCTGAACATGATTGCCAGCAAATCTATGATGCACATCAACGCGAACTAATTGAAAACGCTAAACACAATTTCCAAGAACTATTGTTGGAACACGCAGATTTGTTTTATCATTTTAAAAGCATAGCACCAACAGGAACAATTACTCAGGATGATATTAAAGAAATTACTGATACTCTGCAAGAAGATTTTAGGTATAAGATATTAGATCGCCTTGATCAAGACAGAAAATTAACTCTCTTCCAACATTTGGGTTTTATTCATTATCCTATTAAGGAACACTGTCCAGCTTTTCCTAATTGCATGGACTCATTAATTATGAAGAATTTTGTGACGCATAGACCTTCCTCCTGGAATCATAGTAATCAATGGTTAATGAGTTCAGAGAATAACCAACTGAATTTGCTAATTTTGGGACTAAATAATTTAGCTGATAATCTGGCGGCTAAAATCAGAGCACAGTGTGACGATGACGAATATGAAATTGACTGTCAGTTTTATAGCTTAGACTATAGAATCATTAATGGAGATGTCAGTTTGCCACATAATTCTTTTAGAACTTCTGATTTTATACCACACGGTAGTTTCTGTGTATATTCAAATGCAGAATCATTTGAATATATCAGAGAAAGTTTGGAGAAAAAACTGTTATCTAATCTAGAACAGGATGATAAGTTACCTTTTCAAGGACTACCCATGGATTCTTTTATTTACAAGATTCTTCTGATGAAAATAACGAGATTAAGGCTTAAAGAGGATGGTCAAAATTTAGCTGACTCTTTACAATGCCCTTTTATGGAAGTTTCTTTGGACCAAATATCAGAAGAACAACTAGTATCCGATGCTCTGCACCAATTAGTTCAGAGTATTCATCACAGATCTGGTTTTTTAAATATTAATCAATCCGTCATTGAATGTGTTGAGCCAGATATAAGAGTTATCATGTGTATGTTCTGTGGTGACCCATATTCTGTTGAAAATGTTTTGTCACCTTTACTTAATCATCAGTTTTGCTTCTTGTCTTCTCCCCATAGTGTAATTTTAGAGACGTTTCTAGGAGACTCCAAAAGAAAGGTAGAGGTGATTGTTTCATCATTCCATGGTGCAAATGCATTCCGGGACGAATTAGTTCATGGTTTTATTCTTGTTTATTCTACAAAGAGAAAAGCATCTCTAGCTACTTTAAACGCCTTTTCCATGAACATTCCAAATCTTCCTATTCAAATCCTTGCAGTTACTGATTCTGGCAGCGCCACAGCATTTTTTAACGACGATCTAAGTCAAATGCTTATAACTGAAGGTAACTCTACCGCTGATAGGCTTGGAGCACATTTTATGACATCTTCAGCAGTAATGCAACCAAAAACTGCGTTCTTTACACCTTTCTTTAAAGAAGTGTGGGAAAAGAAACCAGAAATTGAACAAGCTTTCCATATGGAGGAGCCTTCAGGTTTAGATAGTGGAGAAGGAACTTTAGAAAGATCCAGGTCAATTGGAAGACATGGGCATCCCATGCCACCACCTAGAAACGAAAGTTACTATCTTAAATTAGGTAATGAAGGCAGTGAAAGTGAAAACTTTGACCTTAGCGGACCCGATGATAAACTCAGTTCCAGTGATCACAGTGATAGATTTTCAAGTATTTATATGTATGGAAGCGAAGGTTCTATGGGAAAGAAAAGACATAACCACTCTGGGTTACAAATATATCCGCCACCGGCAACGCCGCCTGAGCCTGCGCCTCCTGATAATATAGGTTCTAGATATTCCAAGAAATCTTTGATGTCGTCACAAACTAGTTTGGATGATGTTAATTATGGAGATCCAGGTATATCAATTCCTGGTAGCACATGGAATAATTACCAACAACACGCCTTTACAACTGGAAGGAGGCATATTCCTTTATCAAAGTCTCGCTCTAAAGGCATATCACAAACTCTGAAACAACCGGGAAAGTTAAATATGAAGAACTATTCCGCAGTTACAGAAGCAATCGCTCGTATGAACATGAGCGATGGAAATTTTGGAAGTGCTCCGTTAGCCACTCCAGAAACTGTAGATTTGGGTAGTGAATATGCTCAAGTCAAAGATATGGTGCATATGTATCCTCCTGATTCTGAATACATGTACACTATGGTTCAGGACGCGATCAGTGGTAAGACTAAATTGAGACAGCGCCGTGAAAAGGGACAACCCAGTTATTCCGATTCTGACAGCGAGTGGTCGAGTTTAGAACGAAGGCAAAGAGCTAGTGAAATATATTCAAAAGTAAATCGAAAAGGCGGTACTCATAAACGACAAAGGAAGAAACGCACTGCCATACCTGTTCAGCCTCCCAGGGTACCTCAACTGGGAGCGTTTACGATGCCCTCTGTACATTCACCGTCAGTCGAAGGTGACGAAAAGGTGAACGTAGCTACCGAATCTAATTCCGACTCGTCTGAGGCTAGCGAGGGTGAACAGTTCCCTCAAACTAATATCGGAGACATTCGACATAAATTCGCCCAGAAACGAAGCCAAAGCCTGAAAAAACGCATGCCCGATCTACCTAACGCTCACGAATTTTATATTCATTTAAATTTCGTTAGATTTATTACCGGACAAGCAAACTCGTATGGGCTCATGCACGAAGACGAGTCGAGTCTTGACGTGTCGTCACCGAGAGATAATAATTCTCCCATGTTCGGCGTGTTTCCCAAGATGAAGGAAAGCGACATCGAAAAGATTCTGCGGAAGAGGGAGAAACAGAAAGCCAAGGACGACTCCAAACTAGAAGAAGCGGTTAAGGAGGAAAAAATTAAGAAAAGTTGCCGAGGAAAAAGACAGGAAGCGCCAACAAAAGACGAAACAGAAGGCCGCCGTATTACCCAGCGGAGTCCCATCTAAACTGACAGACTATATTCAGTCTGACAAAAACTATATTCCGATCTTTATGGAAAAATGCGTTAAGTTTATTGAGGCGGAAGGACACGATTCGGAAGGAATATACCGTGTTCCCGGCAACAGAGCCCACGTCGATTTGTTATTTCACAAATTTGAGGAAGACGCGAACGTAGAAATTCACGAACTAGATATACCTGTTAACGCGGTAGCGACAGCACTGAAAGATTTTGTTTCAAAACGTCTACCGCCTCTGTTCGACGAGAATGTGATGTCAGAAATGGAGGAGATCGCGGGAACACGCATGAAACCTATGGTTACTACCACCGGCAACATCGAAGTTAAAGCGGACCGAAGTTGCAGACTTCTCGCGCTCAGACAAATGTTAGACAAGCTGCCGCCCATCAATTTCGCCATCCTCAAGTTCATGTTCCAACATTTCGTTAAAATCACCGAAAACTCCAAGTTAAACAGCATGGATTCGAAGAATATGGCCATTTGCTGGTGGCCCACGTTGTTGCCGATTGAGTTTAGCGACATGGGTCGTTTCGAGCAAATGCGACCGTACCTGGAGGACATCGTACAAACCATGATCGATCAGTACCCTTTCTTGTTCTGTGGGAAGGAAGCGTTCGTTATGGTGTAAATTCATAACAAATTACACTCCGATCGTTGCCATAGAAGTAGTTTTTTACGAAAGAGAAACAGAATGATGCAAACGACTCTAAAAGACGCACAACTTGCCCAGTCAAGGCTCCGTTGAGGTCGTGCGACCTCTTTGTTAAACAATTTTAGAGGCCTTGGTGTTCTTAGCGATGAATAACTAACTGTCTTATGATGCAGTCTGCGTTTATTCATTTCTATTAAACGCAAACTGTTCGTTAAAACGAACGCTGACCGATCTGAAGTCAATATTATGAAATTGTTTTTGGAAATAATAAATATACAACGTATAAACTATAAATACTCGATGTAATAATGTTGTATTTTAATTAACCAATATTTGCAAATGTATACTATACAATCTATATAAAAAAACCTTTAGTGTGGCCTTTGAAGTGACAATCGCTTATAGTTTGTTTTTCCCACCGCTATCTATGTATTATTTATTCAAAATTGACATAAAAACTTGTCAGAAATTACTATTTAAATAGAAATAAATTAAAGATTCCAAACATGTAAATGTTGAGAACAGTTTGCTAAGAAACTTTTTTATTTTTATTTCTAAAGTATATTTTAATTTGCACAGTGGTTTCTGTCAGTTTGTGTCGTGACATATACCGATCTGGTCATCGAAACTGCGTGGTCTGGATTTTAACGTGTAAAACGGTGATGTCGACAGCTTAATGGAGAAAATCAAATGTAAAGAGATAAAAAATTGGGTTGATACATTTCTTCTCTGCGGTATTGCCGGATTTAGCATCGAAATTTCAAATCGCACAAGTAGGCGTTTATGAAAACTGTTGCGTCTAGGGGTTTTGTTTTGTTTTTCTCAATTAGTTGCTCATTTTACCACAGGTGTAATAAGATTATATTTAACTTGAATATATTATCTTCATTTCAGTAGTATATGAAAGTTTTAAAATAGTTTACTTGTTTCTACACACATTTTCCTACAAACATAAAAACTGGCAACTGTATGCCGGTTTTAATTTTATCTCTCTCATCTATAAACCGATCATTTTATATTTATCTGTCGCATGCATTTAAGTACAGATCACGCAGATGAAGTGACCAGAGCTAGTATACAGAGGTTGGACTGACAGAAATCATCAGCAATTGTTATTTCAAGGGTCTCTTTGACAGCGTTTTTGATCTTACGGTAGTTTAATTCTTATTTTAAAAAAATAGAATTTTTTTTTTTTTTTTTTTTTTTTTATTTTATAAAATATACGTATTTATAGTTCATAAAATTAAATTGTAATTAAATGTGGATTTGATTGTCATAATATTATGAAAATATTTTTATATCAAAAGATATTGGCTTGTATCCATCGTAAGTGGTGTATAAATAATTAAAGATTATTAAGAATCTTTTGATAATAAGTAAACAACATTTAACATAGAAAGGTTTATTCAAGTACTTTCGATAATACACTAATGTTAGAAATATTGATCTGAGTATTGTAACGCTATGAATAGCGCCCTGATGTACATAGTGTTTGACTTCACACAAATCTAATTGTAAACTTCTAATGAGTTGTGTATTTATTAAAAAAAAATAGTGTTTTTTTTTTTTTTTTTTTTTTTGTATATTTTCAAATAAAAACGAGTTAAAACTGTGTACGTGCGAGTCTTTTTGTCTTCTCGTGGTCACAATTGTACATTTGAAAAAATACTAAAAAAAAAAAGGAAAATATTACACATTTTTGTAGTTGCCATATATCAAAAGTACATCTATAAAGCTTTAACGGTTTTTTTAAGAGTATTTAGTGTTAATTGTATGATGAATTTTTCTATGAAGTTGTGTTGAATGTTTTTAGCTCTTGAAATTTGAATATGTCGGCATTAAAGATACTTTTTTTAAACTAAATAATGAGACAATAAAATTGTGATATATCAATTATGCGGTAAATTGACCCTATACTCTTTTAATTGCGGGGGTATTAGAGAAAAAAAAAATATGTTTTCACTTTCTACATGGAACTTGAATAAATTTTTGTCATGTTTATTTCTCAGATCTGGCTTAATATTATAAAAAAGTTTTTTTTTTTTTTTTTTTTTTTTTTATAATTAAAAGAAATAGATCTTTGGATCAACACGAGAATTTGAAGGTGGTATGAAGTTTATTTAGGCGCTAATATGGTGCCCAGTACATTTCTGCTGGAAAGAATAGAAGATATTTTTTATTAGTTATAAATGTTTTTTTTTTTTTTTTTTTTTTTTTTTTTTTTTTTGATTTTTTAATTATTATTCATTTTATGATATTCGTAATATACCATGATTTATTTTCATATTAATATTTATAAGATTTTTTCTTTCTTTACTACGAATAAAAGAATAATTTTTTTATTTGATGGAGAGTTATCCTGTGGTTTAAAAAGATTTTTCAAGACTGAAAGTCGCATTTAAATTAATGTTGTGTCCAGCATTTTAGTCTTGTAATAATAATAAAGATAATTATATAGAAATATTCGCTTCCGATTTTTTTTACTTTATACATTGTAATATTTGGATATAATGATTTATTTTGTGTATAGTATGTTATTAGATTACAGGTTATTTCGCGCTCATGCGAAAACGGAGTATTGTAGCCAAATAATTGGATTTTTAGAAATTGGATACTACTAAAGCTACAATTTAAAATTATTTTCGAAAGGTACTGTCCCATTGATAAATGAGATCTAAATTATAAGAAAATGTATTTTCTACGAAAACTACGAAAAAAAATATAGGTAAAAAATGATATAATACAGTTTGATAGACAATTAAATTGTGGATCTGATTATCGTAAAATATACAGGGTGTTTCATTTAAATTAAACGAGTTATTGCCATAGACTTAAACTAAAATATAGACTACACTATTTACATCTAAACGCGGCCAAACAATAATTTTTGTACATATGTTTACTTCTGGGTATACTCGACCGCAGCCGACCAAACTTTCCTCGTCCAGCCTATGTTGTCACTTGTCACTTCTTTATAATATTATCAATATTTTTTTACTTATTATACACATATATATTGAGATATTAATACTGCATTTTAATAAAGTAGGTTTTAATATTCCATAGATGTATTAAATAGTCCTTATACTACTTTTGTATTCAAGAACTATAAAATATGGTTCGACAGTGCCAAATTTGCAAGAATTTTGACTTAAATAATCCATTTAAGTCTCGAAACGATTTTCGACCGGTAGGCAATTCTCAATTTACCAATTGGGAGTCAGTGGCGTTGTAGAAATGCGCTTATTTAGATAATACTTTAGTAAAATGTAAAATCTGATTTTTTTCTATTACATAATCATTTATATAAAGGTTTTTGTAACAGAATCATAATTATAACCCTGTTATTATACATAATAGATAAATTATATTAGGCATCGGTTAAAAAATTAATAATGTTTTTATTAAAAATATATTCCGGTTTATTCTAAAACTATCTTCAAAATCTAAAACAACGTACAAGAATTTTAAAATGATATTACATTATGAAACAATATTTTTTAATATACCGGGTGCGTTCCAAAAGTGGCTCACCCCTATGACTTTTTTATTTTTTCAAATAAAAAAACAGATTTGTATATTAGTGTATGACATAAATTAGGATGGATTGACGTATTCAATTGTTTTTGGTCTCTTCCTGTTTCACCGGAAATGACTACAACTTTTGATTTTTAAGTGGCACCTCGGTATATTGCTACTTTATTCGATAGAAAATGACACTCTGAATAGAATGACATCATATGTCAACTTTTGAGATTGCCGCTTAAAAACAAATCGTATTTTAAATTCCAATCCAGAGTGCCATGGCGGTGTTAAAAACACTAATTTTTAATCAAGGTGCCTTGGAAAAATAGTTTTGATCGTCTAATATTTTTCGTGTCTTGTCTAGGCCGGTTAAAAGATGCACAAATCGTATTCTTAATCATATGTCATTTTTTTCAAATAGAACAAGGGTGACTCATTAGCATATTTGGAAAAAGCATTTTTTATGAATATATTGCTACTTGGTATTTCGAGTCAAATTGTCGTTATGAACCGAGTGTTACAATTTTAATTAAACCATATGCGAAAATGTCAAAAGTTGACATATGATATGTCATTCTATTCAGAATGTCATTTTCTATCGAATAAAGTAGAGATTAGGGTGCCATTTAAAAATCAAAAGTTATAGTAATTTCCGGTGAAACAGGAATCGACTAAAAACAATTGAATGTGTCAATCAATACTAATTTATGTCTTATACTAACATTTTTGGGACGCGCCCGGAATTATAAAGATAGTACAGGTTCAGGTGTACCGAGAAAAGAAAGACAGTGTTGCATTTCTCGTCAGAGTCGTCAGGGAACGACCGTTAGGACGGAGACAACCTATCTATCGCTCGTGTCGCGCTCGTTAGAACCTACAACAATAACAAGACATTGTCTGACCGCATTTTCCAGCTATTTATGAATGAGATGCTCAGTCTATATTTTATTTTAAGTCTATGGTTATTGCCGTTTAAAGCTAGTAATTATTTAAAATACATTTTTAGACACTCTCTATAGAGTAGTATTATTTTTATTATTGTAACAGAAAATTTAGCGAATAGAAAAACTTTAGTATATTTGATTTTAAAAACTTAAATACGTCTAGAGAAATGAAGCATTAATTGTTACTGTATTTTTACAAAATCGTATATTTCAAACACGGTAAGATTAAAGTGCGATAAACCTTAATTAAACTTACCTTTATTTTAATTGTAGAAATTAAAATTATAATAATATACAGGGTGTTCAATCTAAAAAATACAACTTTAATATTTTTTCTTTATTTGGGACACTGTACATTTTGAATATAATTTTAAATAGTAGCTTTAGTAGTTCTCCAACGATCCTATCACTCGCAATTTCTAGAAATCTAATCGCGTGGCTACAATACTCTGTGTCAATTGAGGTGAATAACCTCAATATTATTTTTTTTTCAATTTGACTTACTAACAAAATCTTACCTTATTAGATTAAAAAAATATTTGTAATACTCGTATTGAATGACATGACAACTTTATGTATTATTTTTTATATTGTATGCGTCAAAAATGATCTGTTATATATTATCAGGTGATATTCTGACAACAATTATGTTTTAATATTTTGCAAAATGAAAGAACTGTAAACATTTTAAAAATTTAACTGAAGGAAGTGGAACTATATGATATAATTTCATTCCAAAATAATGAGGGGATGTAGTTTACCTTATTTTAATATTATTAAATTATAAATGTAGCCTAGGTTGTTAGTTTTATTTTGCTTTGAGCTTAGCTAACGTAATATTTATAAATACAAACTGTGTTTCATGTTTTTTGAATTAAAAGACAAAAAATATTTTAAATAGTTTGTGAAAAAAAACTTAATGGACCTTTTGGCAGAAAAAAAACTTTTTATAAAGAATTTTTTCCATTAACGATATACAAAATTATTGTAATTTATGTGCAATTCAACTCTACGTCAGTGTAATTTATTGAAAACCAACCGAGAGTGAGTAAATAAATAAGAAGTAGCTGTTTATTTATCGATATAAGTAATTTTTTATTGCAGCTTTAGGATTTGGAATATAAATGTGAATTTAGGCTCTAAAAGGTTTTTCAATGTGTACCATATGTCGATATACCTTAGATCTCTTAAAAATTAAGGTTCACATCTTAATGTTAGTGTGTATATATGTAAACAAATGAAATATGTTTATTTATGCTTTGTATTTATTCATTATAATCAATACAAGCTTAATGTAATTTTCAATGTTGTTGGATTTATTTTGTAAAATTTTTCATTTATAAAATTTGTATTTTTGTTTTAATAAATATTTAAAATGAAACTTGTCTTTTATTCCTATAACCAATAAATATGCAATAGGGCATTTTAGGGGAAAAGTGTCTAAGTGGAATCAAGAAAAACTAGTAAACTAAGAAAAAACCTGGTATTTTAAATAAAAAGTTATTTTTTAGATTATAAATTGTGAAATTAATTAAGAGTATTATTTAAGTTATTAGGGAGATATGGCAATGTCCAATACTGCCGCAATTCCGCTATTAGCGCTGACGTTATTTTGATATTTGCGTTTGTCGAACTTCGTGTTATGGCAACACAAAATAGCGCTGATTGATTTTGATGTTTATGCCAGATTATGCAAACATTTTTAAAAATTTAGCCTTAACCTAGTTTTCTAATTTTGTCAATCAAAAAAGCATCTATATTCATTCTATATTATATTCTTTCTTTATTTTTATCAAAAAAGAATAGGTATTAAATATATCAGGAGTTTTAATTAGTGTCCAAAAGAAAGTGTGTCTAAAAAAGAATACCTACAATTTAGCCCAATAAAGAGTTATCTCAATTTTTATAAAAAATACAGTATCTCAACTGATAAAATAATGTTCCGAAACTGCCAAATAACCGCACGTCGCGCGGCGTCTTCTCTTCTTCCAAGGTTACCTTGGTCTTCTCCACCTAAATACCGGCATGCGGTAACGTAAATAGCGCACAAACGGTTACTATGACACTTTAACTGTCATAGTTGCCAAAATAACGCCTCCGTTAAGACCGCATATCGTTGTCATATCTTTCTATTATAGAGAAAAAATCGTTTGGATTATTTTTGGTAGCTTAAATGAACAAAAACAATCACTTAGTAAGAGTCTATCAAACGAGTCGGACAAGATTTCGACAGTCGGCATCCGAAAATTGACAGAAAATGCAATTCGCCAGTGAAATAAAGTGTCAGATAAGTGCCACTGTCATGTATTCTCTCGTTGGGCAGGGCAGATCTTATTTTAACTTTTTTTTGTCTAATAGGTCCTTGACGATGAATTTACTGATTATATGATAATAAAAAAATATGTTTTTCTATTTTTATTAAATAAAAAATGCAGAAAAATTAACAATATACAATATTTAAACATTTAGCTTACTCTATATTTACAAAGGAGATATTAACAATTAAAAAATACATTCAAAACAACTGATTTAACGCTGACGATAATCCCACAAAAATAAATTACTAAATAAACCCAAAGTTTTAATTCATAAATATCTGAAATCATATAATTCGTAATCTTTAGCATATTTTTTTAAGTGTGTAAAAAAACAGCGCCAACTTACCTTAAAAATCACGACATAGTTGACATTTTGTGGTATATAAAATTATATGATGTCAGCGACCGTCGTTCCTAAGGTAACTTGACGCCGTTTTGTTTTCGATTATACGGTATAGAAAAAATAGGTAACCATGATACAAAGAAAACTCATGCTAAAAAGTTTTGTTTGTATCATGATAGGTAACTATTTTGTTTTACCTTTTACAAATACATAAATAATTTATTATTTGCAGTAGTGGCTCAATGACAAACGAGCTGTAATATTCATAGCTTGCAACTCTGTCAGTAATAATTTACAAGCATAGGGCATAGAATCGTAGATACTTGTCCTGAGCTTTTACAACTATTACACCAGCCACAATATCCTAATCTTCCACATTGGTTACAAACGTCTACCTCGCATTGATCACTGGATACCATAAGGCGTTCTACCAACATCATGCTGTAAAAAAAACATGTAGGTACATAGTTAATTAGATGTGATGATTTTTTTTGCAAAAGAGCAATATGCGAAACTTACTACAGTTGGAGGTTGTAACACCAATGGTTCCAACCCCCAATTGTAGCAAGTTTCGCAATTTGCTGTTTTGCAAAAAAAAATCATGACCTAATTAACTATGTACGTACAAAATGTTCTGTTCCCTACATAAATAAAAATATATATATCGAATATCGAATACTGAAAGAAGGAATAGATATTAATTATATGAATAACATACCTAGCACCATAGCCTATAAGGCAATCGCGTTCCATTTCACCTAACCTCAATCCTCCATCTCTACTTCTGCCCTCTGTAGGTTGTCTAGTCAATACAGCTCTGGGACCTCTTGCTCTGAAAAATATTGTTGTATTATGTCAAGTTTTACATGAAAACTATGTTTTAACACTTGAAAATTATTGCTATAGTCTGTTCAACGATTCAGGGAAGATTTCGACAGTCGACATCCAAAAAATGACAGAAAATATAGATTAGCCTGTGAATTAAAATGCTAGACTGTCAGGGATCCTTCAATTGGACAGACTATATCAATATTTTTAATTGTATAATAGTAGTTGTTTCTTACCTGGCATGAATTTTATCTTGAACCATATGCTTTAATTTTTGATAATAGACAGGACCAGAATAAATGTAAGCTTCTAAAGGCTCTCCCGTTATTCCCGAGTAAAATACGTCTTTACCTTGGTAGTTATAGCCGTGCCTTGTCAGCTCATACCCCACATCCTCTACTTTTGATCCTCCAAAAGCTGTCCCATAGTGAAACTTGCCTAATATAAAATGTTTTAAAACCAAGATAATTATTATTTGAAGATGCACATACCTTCAACAGTCCCTGCTTTACCAGAAAGCAGTTCCATGAGCTTACCAACCGTCATACGGGATGGATACCCATGCGGGTTCATAATAATATCCGGGCATACACCTTGTTCATTAAAAGGCATGTCTTCTTGTTCTACTATTAAACCTAAAAATAAATTTTATAACTTAGATGTTAAACAAGAAGATTTGGTTTCATTTTATTACCAACAACCCCTTTTTGTCCATGTCTAGAACTAAATTTATCTCCGATTTCGGGACGTCTAGTTTGCCTCAACAAAATTTTGATGAGCGTCGTATCTTCCTCGTTTGTAGTAATCAATGCCTTTTCTACATAACTAGATTCAATATTTCTGTACGCCAATGGTGTGTCTTTATATTCAACTGCTACATTACTAGTTGCGCCTGGTACTGCAGATACAGTGGGCACAGATTTATTAACCAAAATCTACAATTAAAGAATATAATTTGTATTCCAGTAAAAAAGATTATTTTTAAAATATAGACATATCTGTCAATCGTTGCTTTATTGTTATGTCTTAAAACAGGATGTGCTAAAAGGTACCTTAAATGCCTTAAGAATTATTTTATTGAGTTACTGAAATTATTAGTTATATTATGATATTGAATATAGTGACAATAATTGACAGTGAACCAATTTTAAATTTTGACGTTGATCAATATCCGCTGATATCTGTCAATAAAATTATAATCTCAAACAAATGACAATTACGAGGAACAATGTAGATTCATTTACGAAATGCCTTAATGATATCAACAATATCATCTCTTGCTCCATGTGAAATAGAAAGTACGTATCTTCAATACAATAATTGACATACAATGTAACTTTGAAAGAATCATTGAACAAAGTAGATATAACGTACTTGTTTATTTTGTATCTGTTCTCCTGGACTTACTATCCCATCATTGTCCAGACAACTATGTCTCCACATACTCTGATTTGTCTGCGTATCAATTAATGGCCCTTGAATTCTATCAAATGTCTGATTTGGATATCTCTTCATAATACATTTCGAATTTCTATAAACTAAACATCTTCCAAAACCTCTGTCAATAGATGCCTAAAAATAAACTATGTATTAACCGTTTTTTTAATTAAAAATGTTAATTTTTACTTTATTTAAAATTAACGCATCTTCAATATCGTAACCACTGTAACTCATTACGGCTATAGTGGCATTCTGACCAGCAGGAAGTTTGTCAAAGTTAGTTAGTTCAATAGATTTTGTTTTACACATGGGTATTTGTGGATACACCAAATTATATAATAAAGTATCCATACGATTCCTTTGGTTGTATCCAATAGTTCCTATAAATAATTTGCGTTATATTAAATCAAAAAATGCGCAACAGTATACAAGGTGTACCAAAAAGTTCGCAACAAATGGGAAAATTTTTAGGTTTTTTTAAAAAAAATTAAATACCTCAATAATAAAAAATTACATTTGTTACGAATTTTTTGGGACGCCCTGTATAACAGTAAGTACCCATTGCTTGTTTTCCCATAGCACATTGATAGGTATTTCTTGGACTTTGATTGTGGTGGGGGTATGGAACCAATCCGGCACATACACCCAAAAGAGTAAATGTTGCTACCTCTAAATGGGTTGTTTGCACGGTAATATCCTTTTCATAACAAGCAATGTAACTGTCATTTTCCTCATTGACATCCAAGAATTCTATTAAACCTGGAAAACATTTTATCATAAAAAGAATATAATTCAAAACCCTATAGGTACAGACCATCATGGAGAAAATCTTCAAAACTTCTTATACCATTTTCCAGTTCATCCATATGGTGTTTATTAACCAACGGTATGCCATGTTCTACAATAATATACGGTCTGCATAATCTACCACCATCTGAACTAATATAGACGCATTTGTGTAAAAAACTGGGATAAATTGACACATAATTCGATATTTTTCCTTTTCTTCTCATTAAGCGGAAAACTTTCAAAAGTTTTCTGTAATTTGTTGTAATTCCCACAATATTACCTGGAAATAAATACTATAAAGCAACAAAAAATATAAAAAGACATTCTCTTTTACCATTTAAAAATACAATAAAGGCCGCAGAAGAATGTATGGCAATACTAGCAACCATTTCAATGTTTTCTACACCACAATTTCTAACCAATCGGATTAAAGGATATTCATCTATGTCAGTGGTTATATGTGTCATAAGAGCCAAGTTTTTGACCAATCCACATGACTGAAATTTAAAATAAATGACATATAAGTATAGTAGTACAGTATAGCAAAAGTTTCATTTCAGTTTTCTATTTGATATTTTCACTGTAATCTTTTTTTATAAAAAAATGCATGCAATAATAGCTCACGCTTTACAAATATTTTTTTAACTATACACAGGGTGACTCAAATATAATATTTTAGAGAATTTATTTTTGGAGAACGTTCCCCCAGAAAGAATGAGAATAAATGAGCCAATACCGAGAATGTGTAATTAGCCCAAAGAAAATAGGCTAGAACATTTCGACCTCAGAAATACGATTATGAGGTTTTTAGCGATTTTTTTTTTTGAAAATTTGGTTAGGTTATTTTCAAAGTAAAATAAGTAGGTTATTAAATTTATTAACAGTAGTATCAACTAATAATAGTAGTAGTATCAACTTAGACAAAACCGCGATAGTGCCATTTACCAGAAAGCGAAGTCTGAAAAACTTGAAAAGAATCCAACTAGATGGAAAGGAAATACTGCCATCACAGGAAGTTAAATATCTGGGAATAACCCTGGACAGTAAACTCCTGTGGAACAGGCCATATTAAGAACACTACCAGCAAAGCCATAAAGGCTCTCATGATATGCAGAAGACTGGCCGGAAATAGATGGGGCTGTTCCCCTAACATTTTGCGCTGGATGTATAACATGATAGTCAGACCCATGATTACTTATGGAGCAGTTGCCTGGTACACAAAACTAGAGCAACGGACGGCAAGGCTAAACCTGTGCAAAGTCCAGAAACTAGCATGCGTTTGCATCACAGGACCCATGAGAACCTGTCCAACAGCAGCAATGGAGGTCATTCTAGATCTAACACCACTGCACATTGTCATTGGTAGATATGCCAATGCGACAATGATTAGAATGGTCACTAACGGAATTAGTACTGGGAGAATTGTCAGATGAGGGACTTGGAACACCCTCAAAAAGAAAATACCACTCCTGCAACTCCCAATATGCTAAGAACGTACAACTTTGAGAAACATCTCAATGTAGTATTGAGCAATAAAAAGGATTGGAAGAGCGAAACGTCTGCCCAGCATTTAAAAAACCATACCATAACTTAGTATACTGATGCTTCCAAAACCAATACGGGAACAGGGATCGGAGTATTTGAGTCGAGAACTAAATACTCCGAACCAATGGGCACTTACCCTAGTATCCTACAGGCAGAAATCTACGCTATCGAAAGATGCGTACAACTTATCTTAGATAGGAACTATCGGAAACAAGAAATAGCCATCTTATCTGATAGTCAAGCAGCATTAAAAGCGATCAACTCAGTATCAATCAATTCGAAATTGGTCAAAGAATGCATAGAGAAGCTGAATAAATTAGGCAAAGAAAAACAAAAAGTCCTCCTACTCTGCTCACCAAGGGATAGAAGGCAATGAAAAAGTAAATGATCTAGCTAGAAAAGCAGCGAACACTCCACTAACTGGACCAGAACCGTTCTGAGCTCTGGTAACCAACTCAAGGCGAACTCAAGAACTTGGAAGACTCCATCCGCAACCTGAATGGGAATCTTGCAACGCTCTAAGACACTCGAAGAAGTTTCTGAGGGCTTACGATCAAGAAAAATCAAAGATCTTCCTGGATTTAAGTAAGAACAATCTTCGAATTGTCACGGGGTTTTTAACAGGACACTGTCTCCTCAATGAACACCTCAGTAGATTGAAACTATGAAGAAACGACGAATGCAGATTCTGTGGGGAAAATGGGGAAACACCAGTACACCTCATCACTGAGTGCGCCGAGACGACAACCATTCGTGCAATGAACTTTGGTACGACTGATATTGGAGATGGAGAACTAACCTCTATAAAACCGTCCCAGATACTGGCTTTTGTCAAAGCCCTGGGACTGTATGATGAGTTATAACTCAAGAAAGGGGGACACAAAAGATCTGTAAGGTCGCAGTGATTAACTCCCCTCCCACTCATTCTAAATTCTAAAATTCTAAAAAAAAGTAGGTTGTTTTGGACTTATTTGAAAAACGGTAGAGAAAATATGTTTCTTTTATCGAGATCTACCAGCCCTGAAAATATTTGCACTTATTTAAGATTCACCCTGTATAATCATAGCTGAATAATTGAAAATATCTTCAAAAAAGTCCTGCAGTGATTTACTAATATACAAATTTGCATAACGGACAAAAAAATGTTTAACGTTAATCTCTTCCCGTCGTTAAAAGCAGAATTTTTTTTTGCTTCCTACAAAAAATAACTATTTTATTTTGTAGATTTCCTTACAGTGGCGAAATACCCATAGGACTTTTTTGAAGAGACAAATAATTCAACTTACCTCTCCTTCTGGAGTGTCACTAGGGCACAACATGCCCCACTGACTAGGTTGTAAAGACCGCGGTCCAGAAACTTTTCTAGTCGACTCAAACTGTGAATTAACTCTCGTCATCATGCCCAAGGCAGAAATATAACTTAACCTAGATAAAACTTGTGTTACGCCTAATCTTTCCATACGAAATCTCTTAATTGTCCAATTGCCCTAGAGAAAAATATTATCAAACAAACGAAAACATACTTTTAGAAAATCCTTACTGTCGAAATAGCATATACTAAACAGTTGGCTATTAACTCAGACCTCATATATTTTACTACATCAAACTGGGTTGCCCTAATTTTGG